AGTGCCGAGGCCAGCCGGCAAACCGCCCCGGGGCCCCGCCTGCTTGAAATCCGCAACGCTCAGGGTGCCGATCTCCTCCTACAACCCTCGTCAAAAATAACCTCAAAAATGCCTCACGTAGCTGAACTGATTGTGGGAGATATCGGACCGAGTGCCGATGAGTGCGATGTACTTGTATGCGCCGCCCCTCCAATGTCGGTCATCTTTGAATTTTCGAGTCGCTCCTGGTCACACCACATCTGCCCTGGCCCCGACATTGAAGGGGCGTCGTATCGACATTGAAGGGGCGCGCCGACATCGAAGGGGCGTGCCCGCCATTTTGAGGTTAATTTTGATGAGGGTTGTAGTACATGTCCTCGTCCGGCGTGAGGATGATACACCGTGCTCCTCCGACCGCCGCCAGGATCAACCTCTCATGCCAAGGTCTCTCCTCCTCGCCGTAGTCGGATCACGTCCCCCGGCTGCAGGTTGAACGCCCGACGAACGCTTTGGGGACATCAGGCGGTTCGGTTTCACCTCCAGCTTGGCGAACCCCCACAGGAGCACGCGCACCGACACCAGGCACGTGCACACCGTCGCCTGGACCGCCAGCACGGCCAGGATCCACAGCAAGAAGCTCACGAGGGTCGCGACGGCCCCAGCCCCGAGCGGCCCCCGCGCCCCCCACACATCCACCTGCGACAGGCGGGCGTTGGCAGTGGTGGAGATAGCCAGGGCACAGGGCGACACCGGCAGATCGCTGCCCCAGGAATCGACTGGGAATCGACTGGATCGGAGGCTGGAGCTTTTGGGGGAACGCTCCAGCCGAAATCTCCCATTCGCCGCCACGAAGAAGTTATCCTGGCAAAGGACCCAACCAAATGCACTTGTGAGTGCCGCGTTGTGGGTACCGCTCTCGGTGGAGCTCCCTATGGGGCCACGACCCTTCTGAGAGGTGTGCCGAAATGGGCGGGGGGGCGCATGCGGACCCTGCCAAATGGGCGCGGGGACGCATGCGGACCCTACCCTGCCGCTGGGGCCTTCGGAGGGGCTCCCTAGAGGGCCACGATCCTCATGAGGGGTGTGCCGAAATGGGCGGGGGGGCGCATGCGGACCCTGCCGCGGGAGCCTTCGGTGGAGCTCTCTTTTGGGCCACGATCCTCGTGAGGGGTGTGCCAAAATGAACTGGGGGACGCATGCGGACCCTGCCGCTGGGGCCTTCGGTGGGGCTATCTACGGGGCCACGATCCTGACGATGGGTCTGCCCGCATGGGGGGGGACGCATGCGGACTTTGCCGCTGGGGCCTTCGGTGGGGCTCCCGATGGGGCCACGATCCTCGTGAGGGGTGTACCGAAATGGGCTGGGGAACGCATGCTGACCCTGCCGCTGGGGCCATCGGTGGAGCTCTCCCTGTGGGGCCACGATCCTCGTGAGGGGTGTGCCGAAATGGGCGGGGGGACGCATGCGGACCCTGTCGCTGGGGCCTTCGGTGGAGCTCTCTTTTGGGCCACGATCCTTGTGAGGGGTGTGCCGAAATGGGCGGGGGGGCGCATGCGGACCCTGCCGCTGGAGCTCCCCACGGGGCCACGAAACGTTGTACTGGGCGTGCGGGACGCATGCGGACGGTAGCACTGGGACCTTCGGTGGGGCTCCCTATGGGGCCACGACGCGCTCTACTGGGCGTGCGGGACGCATGCTGACGGTAGCACTGGGACCTTCGGTGGGGCTCCCTATGGGGCCACGAAGCGCTGTACTGGATGGGTGAAACGCAGGGAGGAGGGGGAGGAGGGCCACGAAACGCTGTACTGGGTGTGCGGGACGCATGCGGACGGTAGCACTGGGACCTTCGGTGGAGCTCCCTATGGGGCCACGTAACGCTGTACTGGGTGTGCGGGACGCATGCGGACGGTAGCACTGGGACCTTCGGTGGGGCTCCCTATGGGGCCACGAAACGCTGTACTGGGTGGGTGAAACGCAAGGAGGAGGGGGAGGCCTTCGGTGGAGCTCCCTATGGGGCCACGATCCTCGCATGCGGACCCTGCCGCTAGGGCCTTCGGTGGAGCTCCCTATGGGCCACGATCCTCGTGAGGGGTGTGCCGAAATGGGCGGGGGGACGCATGCGGACTCTGTCGCTGGGGCCTTCGGTGGAGCTCTCTTGTGGGCCACGATCCTTGTGAGAGGTGTGCCGAAATGGGCGGGGAGCGCATGCGGACCCTGCCGCTGGAGCCTTCCGTGGGGCTCCCTATGGGGCCACGATCCTCGTGAGGGGTGTGCCGAAATGGGCGGGGGGCGCATGCGGACCCTGCCGCTGGGGCCTTCGGTGGAGCTCCCTATGGGGCCACGATCCTCGTGAAGGGTGTGCCGGAATGGGCGGGGGGACGCATGCAGACCCTGCCGCTGGAGCCTTCCGTGGGGCTCCCTATGGGGCCACGATCCTCGTGAGGGGTGTGCCGAAATGGGCGGGGGGACGCATGCGGACCCTGCCGCTGGAGCCTTCGGTGGAGCTCCCTATGGGGCCACGATCCTCGTGAAGGGTGTGCCGGAATGGGCGGGGGGACGCATGCAGCTGCCGCGCCTTCGGTGGAGCTCCCTATGGGGCCACGATCCTCTGTGCCGGAATGGGCGGGGGGACGCATGCAGACCCTGCCGCTGGGGCCTTCCGTGGGGCTCCCTATGGGGCCACGATCCTCGTGAGGGTTGTGCCGAAATGGGCGGGGGGACGCATGCGGACCCTGCCGCTGGGGCCTTCGGTGGAGCTCCCTATGGGGCCACGATCCTCGTGAAGGGTGTGCCAGAATGGGCGGGGGGACGCATGCAGACCCTGCCGCTGGGGCCTTCTGTGGGGCTCCCTATGGGGCCACGATCCTCGTGAGGGGTGTGCCAAAATGAACTGGGGGACGCATGCGGACCCTGCCGCTGGGGCCTTCGGTGGGGCTATCTACGGGGCCACGATCCTGACGATGGGTCTGCCCGCATGGGGGGGGACGCATGCGGACTTTGCCGCTGGGGCCTTCGGTGGAGCTCCCTATGGGGCCACGATCCTCGTGAGGGGTGTACCGGAATGGGCGGGGGGACGCATGCAGACCCTGCCGCTGGGGCCTTCCGTGGGGCTCCCTATGGGGCCACGATCCTCGTGAGGGGTGTGCCGAAATGGGCAGGGGGACGCATGCGGACCCTGCCGCTGGGGCCTTCGGTGGAGCTCCCTATGGGGCCACGATCCTCGTGAAGGGTGTGCCGGAATGGGCGGGGGGACGCATGCAGACCCTGCCGCTGGGGCCTTCTGTGGGGCTCCCTATGGGGCCACGATCCTCGTGACGGGTGTGCCGAAATGGGCGGGGGGACGCACGCGGACCCTGCCGCTGGAGCCTTCGGCCTCCCTATGTGGCCACGAAACGCTGTCCTGGGTGGCGGTGTCGCATGCGGACCCTGCCACTGGAGCCTTCGGTGGAGCTCCCTATGGAGCCACGAAACGCTTTCCTGGGTGGCGGTGACGCATGCGGACCCTGCTTCTGGAGCCTTCGGTGGAGCTCCCTATGGGGCCATGAAACGCTGTCCTGGGTGGGTGAAACGCAGGGAGGTGACGAGGCGGATGGGAGGAGGGAGGAGGGGGAGGAGGAGGGGGAAGAGGAGGAGAGGAACGCTGGGCGCTGTCTCTTCAAAACGAGGACCCAACACCACAGGATGGTTGGGAAAAACACTTGAACCGTCATGTGTCGGAGGTTGGGGGGTGAGATCGCAGTGGAACGGAGACCCCCAACCGGGAAATCGTTTCGGTTCGTTCGTGTCGTGCGTGCGGGCGAGGCAAAGCTGCGTGGGCGCGCGAGAGGAATGAACCCGCCGTTGCTGGGGCGAAGTCAAAACAAATGATTCTCTCCCGCCCGTCCGTCCGGCGGCGGCCCCGTGGTGTCCCGTGGTGTCCCGTGATGTCCGCCGTTGCTCGGGCGAAATCAAGACAAATGATTCTCCCCCGCCCGCCCGTCCGTCCGTCCGTCCGGCGGTGGCTCGCGGTGGCCCGTGGTGTCACATGGTGTCCCGTGGTGTCCCGTGGTATCCCGTTGAGTGAGATAGATAGTGAGATCGATAATGAGATCGATAGTGAGATCGACGTGGTGCCCCGAGGTGTCCCATGGTGTCCCGTTGAGTGAGATCGATAGTGAGATCGACAGGTGTCCCGCGGTGTCCCGTGGTGTCCCGTTGAGTGAGATCGATAGTGAGATCGACAGGTGTCCCGTGGTGTCCCGTGGTGTCCCGTTGAGTGAGATCGATAGGGAGATCGATACAGAGATCGACGTGGTGCCCCGAGGTGTCCCGTTGAGTGAGATCGATTGTGATATCGGTAGTGAGATCGATACTGAGATCGATGTGGTGTCCCGAGATGTCACGTGGTGTCCTATGGTGCCCCGTTGAGTGAGATCGATAAATGAGATCGATAGTGAGACCGATAGTGAGATCGAGAGGTGTCCCGCGGTGTCCCGTGGTGCCCCGTTGAGTGAGATCGATAGTGAGATCGATAGTGAGACCGATGTGATGTCCCGCGGTGTCCCGTGGTGTCCTACGGTGTCCCGTTGAGTGAGATCGATAGTGAGATCGATAGTGAGACCGATCGTGAGATCGAGAGGTGTCCCGCGGTGTCCCGTGGTGTCCCATGGTGGCCCGTGGTGTCCCGTTGACGAGATCGATAGTGAGATCGATAGTGAGATCGACAAGTGTCCCGTGGTGTCCCGTGGAGTCCCGTTGTGTCCCGTTGATTGAGATCGATAGTGAGATCGATTGAGTCAGAGGTTGGTTTCCTCCCTCTCCCCCCCCCACAACCTCCTTATCACCCGAAGGGTGGTCGTATAGGTACGGCCAGGAATGAACCCATAGCATTGCACGCTCTGTTCCACTCTGCGGGGGCTCCGTTCAACAACGCCGCTACAGGAGGAGGAGGAGGAGGAGGAGGAGGATGAGGAGGAGGAGGAACAGGAACATGAGCAGAAACAGGAGGCCGCCAGGCTCGAGCCTCCCCTCCCCTGCCCGCCACATCTCGCAGTTCGACGGGTTCCAAACCTGCTCGAACTCGAGCGTCGTCCAGCGGAAGTAGCACATGCAAAATATCCGCATCAACAAACCGTGGGTCACCAACACCTGGCCGATCCCGGGGGGCATCTTCCGGTCCTGCCAATGCTGCTCCTCTGCGCTATCATCGTCGTCTTCACCGTCATCGTCGCCATCATCGTCGCACTCGTCGTCGCCCTCGTCGGCGTCGTGTCGTCGTCGTCGTCGTCCTTTTCATCCTCCTCCTCCTCCTCCTCCTCCTCTACCTCCTCCTCGTCATCCTCGTCGTCCTCGTCGTCCTCCTCCCCCCCCTCTTCCTCCTCCTCCTCCTCCTCCTCCTCCTCCTCTTCCTGCTCCTCCTTCTCCTCCTCCTCCTCCTCCTCATCCTCCTCCCCTCCCCGTGCCAATGATGTTCCAAACTCCTTTGGGAGAAGCGCATGGGGACCCACGGGGCGCCATTGAATGCGCGGAGGTCCCGCACCCGATCAACACCTCATTCGAGCCCTCGGCGGAATGAACAGCGGAACGAAAGTGGTAACGGGCCTGTGCGCGCGCCCCCCAGCACGAGGTGGCTGCCAACCACCTCAGGAGTACTACTCTCAACCGCCGCCCAAGATTGGCGCGTCGCAGGCCCAACCTGGGTGGTCACCCTGGAGGCCAGGGTACTCCTCCCCCCCTGCCTCCCTCCCCCCTCCCGGCCTTTCACTTATCGTATCCAGTTTCATTAGTTCTTTCTCGGTGGCGGTCAGAGCTTCGTGAGCGACCCCTAACAGAGTGTGGGACACGATGCAAAATGCAATGGCCCTGGACAGCGCAACAATGGCGTTTAAGCTGATTGGAGGAGGAACAAGACGGGGAGAAGAAAGAGGAAGAACATGACAGCTAAGCACGGGCAGCGATCCACGATCGCAGTTCCTGCGCCGCGCCCTGTAAGGCAAGTGCCTCTGCCAAGGAAGAGAGCAGGGGTGGGTCCAGATACTTACCTGCAACCACAATCGGCTGGAAGACTCCTTCCGTTTTTCCCAGAGAGTAGGCACCTAGTGCACATGCACTCGTGGAGCACTCGGATCTACTTCCCCCGTCGGGAAGCACCGCTAAGAAACAGGGACAATGTAGTATGGCGCCCTTCACCTGTCGCCACGAAATGTTCTTGTCCGTCGTAACGTTGCACAAACAATCGGCTAACACAATACGGCTTCTGTCGAACCGAAATATTGGATCGCTCCAACTGCGGGGCGGACTCCGTCCAAATTGCACCACGTCGCACAAGCCCTGAAGAAGACGTTGAAATAGCGGTCAGGGAATCTCGCCGTGCAGCGGCGCGCGCCCGCAAGCAATTCTTTGAAGCTGTTGGCAATCCACGACTCAAACACACCTGCGGCCCACATTTGCCCATGCCGCGGTATGCGCGTTACTGGAAGATGTTTGAGCCTTTTCCTCCACGCTCCCTGGTCGGCCTGCGCTGCGGCCCGTTTCGTCGGCGCCTGCCCTCCTCCGCAACCTCCTGGCGATTTGTCGGCCCGCGGGCTGCGGGCGACCATTGCTCGCTCATGGTTTTCACGAAATCGGCGCCACGCCCCATCCAAGCGGCAGCCGTCTGTGAATTGTCCCGTTCTGTGCGCCACGCGCGTCCGTAGGCGCGAGTGAGCACGTCATCCCATTCAACGATGCTTCCCCTGTGGCTTTGCACGAAGCCTTCTTGTAGACGATGTGAATGCTGTTCGCCCGTCATGGCGTCCCACGCCAATCTGCGACGCTCGGTGCGCAGCTCCGCGAGGTAGCCCCTGCCTGTCGTAGTTGGAGCATTGCGCTCTGTCCACGCTCCACCGTGGACCTCGTGGAGCACCCGATGGTGAAGCTGCTTGATCCCGGTCAGTTGCAACCACCTCGAAATACATTGCGAAGAGGGACGATCGTGCCCTGTTTCCGTTTCCCTTTTGCTGATCCCCTCTTGCGCCGTCCTTCAATGTTTTCTCCTCCTTGCGGGCCCCGTAAAGTCGACTCCAGGGGGTAGACTTGGGGCGATGGAGGTCCAAGACCAGTCCCAAACTAAAAGACATATTTGCCTGTCATTTCATGGCTACCTGCCCTCTTTTGATTTGTTAGTCCCATGTACTTCACCAGGGCAAGAAGGCTGAACATCTGTCTCCAGGCCGGAGAATTGCCTCGGTTTTCCGAGCCAGAGATGAACTCTGTCAATATACAATATGTCCATCTCCAATTGCCACGGGTGTCGGTCAGATCTCCATCTCCAAATGCCACCATCCAGAGGCAAACATGTCTATCATATGTATGTAAAGACGTGTATTCGTCAGGAGAGGTGCTCACCAGATGCACATGCGGACGTCTGTCCTGCACTCGGGCATCTCTGTCATGTCCATATACATACCTATCCCCCTAGACCGAACAATACACATCTGGATGCCCTTCTGGATGTCGATCCCCCGGGTGGAAGGACGTCGACTCGATGTCTATGTGGATGCCTGTCCCTGGGTTGGAGCCACCTTTGTCCTATGGTGCCTTTCCCCTGAGGCCGCGTACGTTTACCTGGATGCATATTCCCAGGATGGACATTTGCCCATACCATACATACATACATAACTACATACAGACATACATACATACGCATACACATGTACAGCACACATACACATACGTGTACATTTCCATGTGCATGTGCATGTACATATGCGTATACCGATAGAACAACACATACATATGCGCATACGTATAAATTGACACATACACATGCATCTGCGTATTACATATACAAAAGGCTATAATATTCCTGCCCATGTACATATACATATACATATACACATGCATGAACACATGCATATGCATACATTTTCCATGTACATCACATATACATATACACATCGATACAGACATATACATTGACGAATACATGCGCCCATGTACAGACATACGTTAACAGTATGTGCACATAGATTAAATGTATGTGCGACTACATACACAACTGCATCTACATCTACATATACAAACGTAAAGGTATACATCCACATCAACATTTACATCCACATATACATCTACATACATATATATACACCTGCGTATTTACATATACAGCTGCATCTACATACACAACTAAATCAACCTACGCCTGTACATGCATGCAAACCGATAGCATGTACATGTGTACACCTACATGAACAACTCCATACACACATACATGCGAACATACAAATGACAAACGACATATATATATATATAGGTATATGCGCATGCACATGCACATGCATGTACAAACATACAAAAACACATGCCCGAGTACATGCACGTATCATGTACACATGCATCTACACATGCATACGCTCATACATGCTATGCGTACAAGCAAGCAGCCACGTACATTCTTCTACATACATAGATGAACATGCACATGCGTATGTAACTGTGTGTATTCACATGTACATATTCATATGCATGCCCATGCACATGTACATCTGTATATGCATACACATATACGTACACCTGAACATACACATAACCTTATTCATGGTAATATTCATATACAAATGCGTGTCCATATGCATGTACATACACCTGTACATGCACATATAAACACACATTACACTATGCACAGCTACATATACACCTATATCAATATGCCTGTATATATGGACATACACATATACATATACATCCCATTCGAAAAATTCACCTACATATACATATACGTACATATACACATCTAGATATAAATCACCATGCACCTATACATCTACGCATACCTACATCACTGGCCCCTCTACATTGGCCCGGTGACCTTGCCAGGCGCACAGATGATCCTTTTTCTCTGGTACTCGTGCACAGGCGAGAGCATTGCGAAGCAGATTCCGTCCGAAGTGTCGTGATCTCGATATTCAAGCACGCGCGCTGGGGACATGCAAAGGCTTTGTCGAAACACACGCCCTAGGGTGGGAATCGAAGGGGGGGAGACTTGAGTGAATGGATGCAGACAGGCGGGCCTCAGCGAGGGGAGAGCTATAACAATCAAGTATTATAAGCGTCATTGACCCCTCTACATTGGCCCAGTGACCTTGCCAGGCGCACAGATGATCCCCTTTCTCTGGTACTCGTGCACAGGCGAGAGCATTGAGAAAAAGGTTCTGTCCGAAGTGTCGTGATCTCGATATTCAAGCACGCGCGCTGAGGACATGCAAAGGCTTTGTCGAAACACACGCCCATGCCATCATCACTTACTGGAGGGCCTCCTGAAAAGGACGGAAAGATTGAGGCCTCCGCTGCAGCGGCTCGCTGGGCGAGCTCAACAGGAAGACGAGCGGCCTGATGCAACAGTCGGCTGCTCTTCTCGTATCGTTTTGCAGACTTAGGATGGGCCCACCGGCCACGATTCTGAACCATAGCTATGCTGCGTGAATTCACCAGGACGTCGTGGCTGGGAGCAGAGTGCCGGGCGACATGTGGCGTGAGGTGCCCGACTCTGTCCAACAGGGTTCGACTGTACTTTCTGAAGAGGGCCTCGTACTTAGCGAGGGTCAGGTGAGGAAAAACGAGCTCATCAGCACATGCGCCAGGCGAGCGGCGACGGGCCCACATCTCCAGAACAGAGCCTACCCACTCACGGCCTGGCGAATTGAAACTAATGGTGTCGTCGCTCTCGCCTGTCTTGGTGGTTCCGCCGCGGTCGGAGTTGCCGACGACGACTGCCCGCCCCCCTCGAGACAGCGAAGAAGAGAGGGGGGGGGGGGGGGCGCACCGCGGAGCACCACCGGAGCTCGCAAATCTCTGACGGCCTCAGGTAGGCGTCCGAGTGGATGGCAAGGGCGACGGCGGCGTCCACGTGGCGGTCCTTCAAGAGAACCGTCGTAAACAAGTAAACTACGGACAGCGGCCAAGGGTGTCGAAACGAGCCAGGGAATCTGCGAGACCAACCCTTCATAGCCTCTCGTGATATAACAAGACGCGCGGACTTGGTGATGTCCGATCGAGGGTAGAACGCGAGGAAACCCCAGAGAGCATATCAGCTCTCCGCAGGACGCCTGGCGCTCTTCATCAGGGTGTCAAAAATATTTGCGCATGTACTGATCGATCTTGAACTCTGAAGCTTGCCTCAAGTCCTCGGAGCGCGTGGCCCAGTCGAAGAAGTCCCGGACACCGACTCCATATCGCTCAAGAGAGACAGCGGTGATGGAACCGAAGCTGGCCACGCCCCCATCCGCGGGGGCAGGGGCTTGGGGTCCGAAGCTGAGGTCCTGGCTCTCGATGGCGTCCACGAAGCTAGAGACGCGGGGGCGGCGCCCAGCGACCCCTCGGGCCTCTTTTGAGGCGGGGCGCTTGCTTCCGGGCTGCCTCGAGGTTGGTGCCCTGACCGAAGACGATGCGCGGCCGTAGGTGATCGTACCTGCTCTCGAGGGCGCCCGGGTCGGCAGCTGCAGCGAGCCCGAGGTCAGGTTCCGCTTGAAGCTGCTGCCGAGCCGGTCGGGGGCGCCCGCTGGGGCGCGAAGCCGCCGTCGAGTAGCATCGCGCAGCCGGCTCTCGAGGTCGCTGGCGCCCGGAGCGCCAGGGCTGCCTCGGGCGCCCGCGGGCGCAGACATGGCCGCGGCCCGCGCCCATGCCGCGCGCGACTGGCGAGGATAGGCCCCCGCACCTGCGGTGCGATTGCGAGAGACACGAGCCCCAGATGGCAACGTAACCGCTTCGAAACCTCGGAGCTCCACGCGGGCGCGATCCTTCGAGCGCGCCGAGCCCAAGGACGACAGGGCAAATAAATTCGCGAGGATAGAGGTTGGCTTCTTGCGCGGGGCCCCACAACTACAGTGCGCGAAGGAGACGTGGATCACATCTGGGGGGCCACTGAGCTCTCCCACGGGGTCGAAGTCCCAGAGTCTTGAGGTCCTAGGATGTCCTAGGGTTCTCGATACCCCCGAAAATCCCATTTCTCGAACATTCATAGGCCATGCGGCAACTAAACAAAGAAAATCCCATTTCTCGAACATTCATAGGCCATGCGGCAACTAAACAAAGCTAAAGCAACACCGATACGTTCTTTATGTCTGGCTCTTTCATGATCAACAAGATTGCGTCGAGCTCTGGGCGAAACGCAACAAGGGGTGCCCATGTGCACGTGCCAGAACAGCCCCCGCCGCATGCCCTGCAAGACAATGTTCTAAACCATCGGGTCCAGGAGGTCGTAGTGAGCCCCGCCCTTCATGTCCATGCAGGGGAAGGTCCTCAGGTCGAGCTCCTCGAAGGCCTGCCAGAGCCCACCCTCCCCGGAGAATAGCTCCAGGAAGCCCTGGCCCTGCTGGGCCCGTCTGAGAAGCTGAACATGCCCAAGACGAAGAGGGGGGGCGGCGGCTCGAGTGATCACCGAAGGCGTCGACGTGGATGATGGACGGGACGATCGATGAGGTGCGTCATCGCATTCTTCGGAAGACCGCGCACCCAAGTGCTTGTCGCTCGGGAGAACGAGGGACATAACAGATTGAGGTGTCTTTCTGATTCTGTTTGGAGTAACCTTTGTCGGGGGGGCGCTGCTCGAACCGACGGGAAGGGGCGTCGGCCGCATTAAACTTTGCGTTGACATACCGCGGCCTCCAACGCACCCTACGCCCGATAGCGTAGGCCGCCGCGCGCCGGCGCTGTGCGTTCAGGGCCGCTGAGCGACTGGACCGCCCTTTGTCAAGGCAGCCAACGCATGCCATGGAGTCCACGAGAGACACGAGGCGTCGACCGCAATTGTGTCGGACCCGGCAGGCGTGGCGCAACCCCGCCACGGCAGCCCGGGTCTCCTTCGCGTTGATGTGTTCCCCTGGCCACCGCCGCCGCTTGGCCGCAACCAGCCTGAAGCCGTCGGGGTCGAACCAAGAGGCTGCCGGCGGCGGTGCCAGGGGCCCCGTCTGCAGGAGGGCGCTCTCGCCGCCGGGGCCCCGACGGCCGGGGCGGAGCCGGAGACGAGGGCGAGGGCGCCGGGGGCCGTCAGACGGCGAGCCCTCCTCCGCTCTGCTCTGAAGCCACTGGCCGAAGGCGGTGGGGGGGCCAGCTCCTGTGGAAGGCGAAGAGGCGCGGCAGCGGGGCTCGGCCTCGTCGCACTCGCGGCACGCGTCCGCGTGGCCGTAGCCCCCCATGTCGGCAACGTCGGCCGGAGAGACGAGGCCCGCGCGGGGCCCCCGGAGGTGTCGCCTGATCAGGCTCCACTTCTCCTTCCAGCGGTAGGCGGAGCGCAGCTCGCTGTCGTAGGCCCTCATGCGCATGAGCCCGCGCCCGTGGTCGGCGGAATCGCTGGCGTAGACGCGAGGCACATAGGGCGCGGCCAGGTCGACCTCTGTCAGCCAGACGAGCCCGACCACGATGCGCATCTCCTGCATGACCTCCCGCGGCAGGGCAGTCCGCACGCCCCGCGCGGTCTCGGCAAACCGGTAGGTGGCCGAGAGCGCCGCGTAGCCGGGCCTGGCCAGCATCAGCACCGAGACCGCGTGGCCGAGCCAGACCTCCATGTGCTCACCGCGCATCCTTCTCCGTGCCAGTAGAGCCCGGGTGGCCAGGTCGAAACGCCAGACACGGGAGGCTTTGTTCCGAAGGCGCCCCCCCTTGAGGTCGATCTCGACCCCGACCGTCTCGAGGTGGGCGACCACGTCCGGGTAACTCCAAGTGATCGGGAGGCCGTCCAGACATAGATCAAACATAACCTGCCGCACGTGCCCGGCCCGTAGCCCTCCTCGGGAAGTTTAAGATGCATGTCCTTCCTTGCAGGAACATGAAGGTAAGCTCGCTTGGCGCCGAAGAATCCCAGTTTGAGCTCCTTCTTCCGCTCGCCCTTGCCATATCATGTAGATCCATATTTCGCCCGTCACTGCCATCGAGAACAATAATGTCTGAGCCTCTAGCGGAGGTGTTCGCCGCGCATACGTTCGAATTGCAGTGCATGTGTTGGCCACTAACCTAGATTGGTGATCGGGGCTGTCATCGTCTCCTTTGTGTCAACGTCAACCCATCTCGTGCCGACTAGCCCCTTGCCTGCGACCGCGCACAACGCTTCTGCTCTCACTTTCTCTTGAGCCCCGCGTTTCCTGAATCGCCACATCTCTTCCTGGCGCACTTGGATGGTTGCATTGGGATCGAGCTCGTTTCCGCCGACGTCAACCCAGGCACATGCCTGCCAATTCTTTCGAGAGCAGATCATTCGTTTTAGTGGGCTTGACCTTGCCATGTTCACAGCGCGCTTCACATGTGCCAATAACCATCATCCACCCCGCACGTGGCATGTCAAGCCCTCCCACTTATGTGGTTTGACTCCCCGAATGCCTCATAGATGAAAGCTGTCCTGGTGTTTCGGGGTTTCGCGCTCCTTTTATCTCGCGCCTCCACTGATCGGTCTTCTATTGTTTGGCCGCTGTCGGGGTCTTTGGGAACTCGTCTGACGCACGAGCTTCACAATGCTCCATCAGGGCCTGGTAGTGGTTCCAATATCTTCACGTGTCCATTCCAGCCGGCACTTGGGGCCCCCGTTCACCGTGCCCCAGCTGGCGCAATTAATCGCCATCTCTCCAACCTTAACCGACCTGTTCCACCTGTTCATCGCATCTGCAAGTCTGGTGCGCCCACCCCCGTGAAATCCATGTCCGGATATTGCCCTATGCACTTAAAGCTTGGCACAATTGCTGTTTGTCATGAACCCCGTGAATTTTGCGTTGGGAGCTTCTTCCCCCTCAACTACTCGTCGTCAGTCATGGCGGTGCAAATCTCCATCGCATACCCCGACGTCGTCTTTCCAAGGTAACCTCTGAAGGGGGGTGGCGTTTCAACTTGATGCACCCGCGGGGCGCTCGATGAGGACATGAAGTCCACTTCGCCTGTATATGTCCCAGAGCTCCCTTGCGCGGGTAAGATGTTTGGCACCGTGCTCCACCGTCTCTTCAGTTGTCTCTGGCCCTAGCCGCTTGGCGTTGAAAGTCTGAAGTCTGCAGAACGTTGCGCGCATGGGGCTCAAGATTAAGAGTGAGGCGGATCAGCCTTTGCCTTCTTCGTGGCCTTGACCACCACTTCCCAGATGGTTGAAACCCCATGCGCCGCCGTGCCACTCGCAAGTCGTCACGTCCATGGTCCATGGCAAGCCCGGGAACGAGACCCGTCCATTCCGCCATGCCTGTTGCTCTGACGGGAGAACATGCCTCGCTAGCGTGTGCCTGAATTGCTTGTTTACTTTTGCCATGGAGTCGAACGGCTCCCCGTGCCTCGTTCAGCCGCGGAATGATGTCGCACTCCGACCCCATTGACCCACTCGACGACGTCTAGTCCAAATCCCAGCACGTTCAACCCCATTCTGACGTCTTCATCCTCGCCGTCGTGAAGCAGATTGCGTTTGCGCGCGCGCTGAGCCTCCGCATCGCGCCCCTCGGCGCGCCGCCCACTCGGCGGGCTCGGGCCCGCGCGCGCGGCGGGCCCCTCCTCGATCTCAAACTTGGTCCACCCGGTCCCCTCGTCCCCGGAGGAATCGTTGAGATTGATCAGTGGTCCTCCTGTTCTCCTTCGCTCCGCTTGTCGCTGTGCTCTGCTATCGCGCCACTTCTGTGAATGACATGAGTGGTGCGCTCACTCTTAAGCCTGTTCCAGTCCACGGGGCAGCCCGCGCCTGCGGGGTAAGAAGGAAGGCAGCGCCGCGGCGCTCGATGTTGATGAGTAAGCTTACTTCCTCTCGTTCGCCAATCGTCTTGTAGGCCCACCTCGCTCCCTGAGGCGGGCGTGCTTCAAGTCTGGGCCTTTCTCTTTGGTTTCCCAAGCTATTCCTCCTCTGGTCGCAAACTCCTGCGCTCTTGTCGAAGCTGAGACGCCGTTAACCTCTCGCGAACGCCGGGTCATCCTGCCGCTCAAGCCATTCGATAACTCGCCCACGGCTCTCCTTGGAGCGCGGCTCAGGCGACGCATCTCCTCGCGCGGTTGCGCGGCATCCATGGGCACCTGGCGTTGGTCTCATTTCGAAGCACTGTTCTTTCTTGGCTGCAATTCCTCCGGCGACGCATGGTCTGACCTCGACTTCGGCCGCCCCGTCGATGGCAACGACGCAAGCGCCATGATGCTGGATTGGACTTCCAGACTGGCCGCGCGCGGGTCGGGTTGCCGCGGCAACCCCGCCATCTCGGCATGGTCGGGATTCAACCCGCCCAATAAAGCCGATCACGTCGCAAGCCGCTTTCACCGCGCAACGGCCCGCTCCCTTCTCTAATGCAACTCGGCGCCCATCTCAAATTGGTGTCTCGACAGTAAGTCGCAATGCTCGGTCAATCCATGGGCTGCCCGGCTCACCGCCCTGCCCATCTCCATCCTTTCCTTTGAGCCGCGTTAATCCATGGAGCTCACTCGTCATCCCAGCCCCTGCTTCGGCGGCGTTTTGCAGAGGCCACGTCTCCCGGCCTTCCCGCTGACGCAGCGGGGGGCGCCGGCTGCGGCGAGGCAAACGAATCGCGTCATGACTCTCTACGTCTTCCATGCTTGGTCTCATGCTGTAGTGGGCCATCCGGGGTAACTCGGCCTCCTCACTGATGGGCGCATCCTCGACGTCAATCAATTCCCTGTCTCCACAATCACTCCGTTCTCCGCCATTAATCACGCTGGCTCCGTCTCTGTCTTCGGGCCCCGCGGGCGGCGTGCCGTTTGAAACGGGGGATCGGCCTCGACGGCCCCGGGCCGCGTAAAATCCGCTGACAACTCTTTTGCGGAACTTCATGAACTTCGATGACATCTACCCCGTCGCCCTTAGGGGCTCTAATCGTGACTTGGAAGATGCTGTTCCTCTCGTGGATGGCCGTCCTCTTGCGCCTGGCTTCGCGCTTGGCGCAACTGCGTGGCCATCGAGTATCATCGCGTTTGAGAACTCTTCGGTTACCTGGCTCCAACGTCTCACGGGCCGATCCCACGGGATTTGTCGCGTCCGCCATCCGAATAGGCATGCTGACGGCCATCCTACTTTCACACTGTCCGGTAATCACTCTCTGTCCATAATGCCGGATGATGGCCCCATTTGCCGCGCTACAAGTTTTACCGTTATTGGACGCACTGGTGGGTCTGATGGGAAAGTAAAATTCCTATATTTGGGGCCCGACAGTATGGTGCGCACCCGGGTCCACGGTGACGATGACTGCGTCGGTCTTGGCATCGCTCTGAGGCGCCGCATTGACCTCCCGCGCGCTTCCTCGGGCTTCCACAAGCCCCGCGCCTCGGTGCTTCCGCAATCAACTGAGGCTGCCACGCTTGGAGCTGTTAGCAGCCGAGTGATCTCCATGGTTGCAGCCATGGGCACGTCGATGTAGTTGGTAACGTTTGCGCAGATACAGGGCTCGAGTCTGCACGTCTTTTCCACTTCATGCCTCTGGTTGCTCCATCCCGGGGGTGGCTCAATAATTGTCGGTGGATTAGCAGAGTCAATCGTAGGTTCCATTCGATTGTCCTAGCTCGATAATCACACAAAACCGCACTCTCGCGGTTGTCCGAGCACGGCGGGCCCCGCTACCTCCCGGTTGCCCTGCCCCGCTTTGTTGACCGACCTCGGTCAGTTAGCGGCCGCGTGTCACTTGCCTCCACGCGTGCAACACTCGCCATCGGCACGCAGAACAAACCGTGCGCCCGCCGTCGCTACCTTGCCCTCGGCGTTGGCCCTTGCCGCCGCCTTTTCCCTCAAGGTAATTGCCGCGCGAGGTTCGGTAACTTTCTTTGCCGCGCGCCCCTTTGCCCCCATTCCCTCCGCCCTTGTTGTTCTTGGGCTTTCGACAGTCCCTAGCCGGAACTGTAGCGCGCGGCACCCTTTCCTCTGCTTTGCCTTTTTAATGGCCGCGCCCGCATCGCCATTCTCGCGCTCGGTCTCGCCCAGCCAGTGGCCGTCGCCAGGCCGCCAGTTTCCATCGTCGTCGACCCATCCTTAAGCGCGCCGACCACCCGCGTTGCAAGTCGCACTGCAACTGGAGCCGCCAGAGTCATTACGTCCATGGCATCGTTGGTTTTCGCGCGTGCATCATTTTTTTCCTGGGCCTGTCTTCGCATTTCGCGCGGAATTGCTGGTAAGTGTCTGCATTCAGGCCATCGGGCGTAGAGCGAAGCCCCCGTTGCCATTCGTCGAGACAGCCAATCGCACGGTTCACGATCGCGCGGAGGGCAGTAATTCTGAAGGGCATGGGCAACGCGCGCGCACCCCCACGATTTTGCAGCGCCTGCATCAGAACACTCCATTCTTCCAGTTTGCTCGGCACTTCTTTGATTCGCCTGGGCTGTTCGGGGTTCGTTGCCTGGAACAAATATTGCGCCGGCGTGACTCCCGCAACTGCCTTATAACGTGTGCAAATCTTCTGATATGCGGCAAGTCCGTCTCCGCTCGGTAATCCTGTGAAATTTTCCGCGCGCGCCGGTTCCTTGGATTTTTGCGGTAAGGACGTACCAGAGATGCTCCTCAAGTTTGTTCATGTCTTCGTAGGTAGCGCAAATGCCCTTTCGTCATTATCCTGCTGCTGCCTGGCCGCGCTGGCCTTCTGTCTCTCGGCGTGCGTTAGTCGCCCAACTAGAATTCGCATCGGGTCCTCCGACTCCTCCTCTGGTACGACTCCGCCCATTGTCTCACATTTCGTGTTGAAGGACGCAACTGCGCACTTGTGCCAAACTATTAAGACACTTGTCACTCCACTCTCTGAACTTGCCCTCTCGCCAGTGAAAACTTTGAACTTCTGTAGGGCCTTGAACTCGCTGATGGGTTTGCGGTTGCCGCCTACTCCTTTTCCTACGACTTTGGTAAGGGCACCCCTAGCTTGGAGATGCCCCATCAACAGATTCCCGTAAGTATCCGTACTCGCCGCCATGCTCACAACTTGTCAGTAAAGACTGCGTGATCCTCGCTCCACCACTAAATTTCGGTTAGCGACACTCACCAGCATGGCGTTCATCTTCTGCTGCAATTGTAGCATATCGAAGGCTTCATGCAGGGTGCCCTCCTGGGTGTATGTGGAAATGCGGTCGTTAATGAAATCGCTGATTCTTTCATGGGTGGCACGCAGCGCCGTCTTCACATAGTCAAAGTTCCCATCAACTGTTGACGATACACACATATCAATACATTGACCTCTGGGCGTCCAGTTTTATCCAAGCCACCTGGTCCGCAGGTACGCAAAGTTCAACGGGTGGGTCCTGCGGGCTTGGGGGTAAAGGCAGCTTATCCAGATCCTGCCATTGCAACCGACGCTCCGCTACCATGCAACATACCCAGGAGGATTCAGCGTAGTAGCGCGCGCTTGTTTTGCCCGCGACGCTCGGATTCGTCAGACTTCCGAACCTTGAAAGCTTGAACCACATGGTTGCGTTGATGCACCCACTGGCATTCACCCTGCTTCCCCAATTTCCACTGCATGCTTTAACACCTCCTCCTCCTCCGCGTTCTCCTCGTCCTCCTCCTCGTCCTCCACATCCACCTCCCTGCTCCCTCTCTCGCCTCCTCCTCCTCCTCCTTCTCTGGCCCGCAGTTCCATTATCCCCCCTCCTCCTCCTCCTCCGCCTCCTCCTCCTCTTTTTCTTCTTCATCATCATCATCATCACCACCATGTTCATGATCATCATCATAACCAACATCCCCATCATTGTCATCACCATCATCCGCATCATCATTACCGTCACCATCACCATCAACGTTACCATTACCATCATCATCATCATCATCGTCATCGCCACCATCTTACGCCGCCATCATCATCATCATCATCATCATCATCATCATCATCACCATCACCATCACCATCACCATCATCATCACCATCACCATCAACATCAACATCACCACCACCATCATCATCAACATCATCATCACCATCATCCTCCTGCTCTCTTCCTTGCCTCTGCCTGGCCCCCGTCCCCACGATGTTCTGCGCGCCGCCGGGCTTGTCCATTACGCGGTACAATGTCGCCCAGAATTCCGCCACCCGATCGTAGACGTCAGTGCCCGCCTGCCCCAGAGAGAGATGGGGGAAGAGAAGAAAATCACGATGACGACGACGAAGACGATGATGATGGCAATAATGATCATGATAGCGATTTCTCCGCCCGTGCTACTCCGACTTGTTCCAAGTCAGCGGACACGAGAGTCAGATGGCGGTTGAGAATGTGCTGGCACGCAGGCGAACCAATTGAGGCACAAGGCAAGAACGCGAAGCGAAGGGGGTTGGAGGAGGGCCTGGGAGGCGGGGGGGGGCCGCGCTCATGCCGCGAAGGCCGTCGCGTGCGTGCCGGCGCGCACGAACAGGACGTCCACGAGCAGGACGAGGTCCAGACAATGTGTGCACGTCGCGTGGGCGAGGCCGAACACGTAGCACCCGGCAGGGCGACCAGGGCAAGGTGAATAATTAACCAAGTCAAGCCTCCGCGCGTGAAATCATGGTGGCCAAATGAGGGTTACTTACTGCCAGGGGCAAACATGATCGACCCGCGAGCCCGGAAAAGGGATATAGAAATGTGAAGCATGGAAGTTGTTCTAGACATCAAACTTGGGCGACGCGCAAGTGCAGTGTTCAGGGTAGCGATGGTGATGTGCAATGCCAAGGACTGTGCTGTGCTGTGCTGCGATCCGCGTTGAAGTGCTGTGCTCTATTGCGTTGTGAATTTGGTCGTCCGTGGCGTCAGAATCCCGATCGAGCCGATCTTGATCCTACGCTCGAACTGCCTGAACGTATACCTCAGATCTGGCCGCAATCGAAACGCGCGGGGCGCTCGACCTGCTCGAGCTCGAGATCCGATTCAGCTCGGAAGCGGGACGAACCGAAAGGGGGCGAATCTGAACAGATCTGTGCTCTGTTGCGTCGTGGATCAAATCTTCGCTGGCACCCGAATCCTGACAGAACAGAGCTGGGCCTCAAGCTCGGGCTGCCTGGGCGCATTGCTCGCCCAGAGCTGATTACAATCGAGATATGATCAAAGAAGTATGTTCCGCAACAGGGCGGGCGAATCCAAGCCGAGGCGAAATGCATCGAGAAGGGGCGGGCCGAAACGCCGACGACGACAACGACGGCAAACGGCGACGACCGCGACCGCGGTTCCAGCTCGGGAGCACTGTATAATTCGATATCCACCTGGTAGCCTGGACACGTGAAAACACGTGGCTCCAGCTCGGAACCACATTTTAGATACCCCAAGGAAGAATCTGGAAAATCACCTGCCGAAGAAACTGTCAAATTATTACACACCTGGTGAACATGCACTGATCTTATCCCGCGCCGGGGGCGCCCAGACGACCGTATGTTGAATACCTCCTTGGATGGTCTGGACACGTCAAAACACGTGGTTCCAGCTCGGGACCACCATGTTTGAAAAAGTTTGACACCCCAAGAGGAAATCTTGAATATCACCAGCCGAAGAAACTGCATCAAGAAAATTACACATCTGCTACTTATTGATTTTTTCCTGGCTCTTGTAAGCCCCCACGCTAGATACCCCCCGCTGGGCTGCCCGCAAACGTAAAACACCTGATTCCAGTTCAGTACAACCATGTTAGATATCCTTCAGGGTGGCCTGGACATGTGAAAACACGTGGTTCCAGCTCGGCACAACCATTTTCGAAAACCGTCTGGGTGGCCTGGACACATGAAAACACGTGGTTCCAGCTCGAGGCCACCATGTCAGAGACCTTTCTGGGTGGACTGGACACATGAAGCAAGAGGTAACCATCTTATATACCCCTCCTGGGCGGCCTCGCCACGCAAAAAACACATAGCTCCAGCTCGGCCCAACCATAGTAAATACCCCCCTGGGTGGCCTGGGCACGTAAAAACTCGCGTTTCTAGCTCAGGACCACCATATTAAATACACCCGGGTGGCCAGGACACGTGAAAACACGCGGTTCCAGCTCGGGAGCACCATGTTAGATACCCCTTTGGGTGGCCTGGACACGTGAACACAGGTTCCAACTCGGAGCCACCATGTGAGAGACCTCCTTGGGTGGTCTGGACTAGTGAAAACACGTCGTTCCAGCTCGGGACCACCATGTGTGATACTCGACGAGGAAATCTGGAGTACTACCAGCCGAAGAAACTGCGCCAAGTTATTACACATCTGGTGTCGGTGTATTGATTTTTATCTGGCTCTTGTAGGTCCCAAAACTGGGGTTTCCCAGATGACCACATGTTAGATAATCCCCCCGTAGGTGGCCCGCACAACTAAGAAGACGTGGTTCCAGCTCGGTGCAACCATGTTAGATACCCCTTTGGGTGGACTGGACACGCAAAAAAAAACATGGCTCCAGCTCGGGACCACCATCATATATCGCCCCCATGGTGTCCTGGACACGTGAAACTACGCGGTTCCCCCTGGGGACAACCATGTTAGATACTCCCCTGGGCGACCTGGGCATATGAAAACAAACAGTTCGCCTGAGACATCCTCTGACGTCTGGTCCCCAGGAGGGGGACAATATTTAGGACGAAACGAGCGTCTCGCTCGAGGCATCCTCAACAAATTCTGCAAAACAAACGTTTCGCTAGAGACATCCGCAGCAAAATAACATGTACGATTTTCCAGTGGCGTAACGCACTGCCAACACGTTGCAGCTCTCGTGGCCAAGAGCTCTTGACATTGTGGCCAGGCTACCACCACTTTCGCGTGACCATGAAGAGACCCCAACAGGAGGAGGACAGGAAGAACAGGAAGAGAGGACAGAAAAGAAGGGAAGGCCGAAGGGCCGGGAAGAAGGACAACAAGCAGTTTAAAGTGTTCGGCCTGGTGCAGGCGGCGCAGGGAGCAGACGGCTGACCCGATGCTCGAATCGCCAGGCTTCAAAGGATTGCAGCACGCAGCTGGTAAGAAACTACTCCGACAGGGAGGAGGAGGAAGAGGAGGAGGAAGAGGAGGAGGAGGAGGAGGAGGAGGAGGAGGAACCGGAATTGGAATTGGCCCCTTCGCGATGCGAAATCTCCTGGACGCTAGGCATCAGGCCCAGCTTCTCTGCTGCGCGCCTGAGCACTGGTGGGCTCGGGCGGCTTACCAGCCACGAAAGTATCGAGATACTCTCTGCGAGAAATACTCATCTCGGAGGTGCACGGTTGGGCGAACGGCCTTCTGAGTTGCTCCCGGCCGTAGAAACCACAGGACCCACGCATCCAGGTGTCGGAGAGGGAGGAATAGAGGACGGAATGGGCGGGGTGGATCCAACCTCCCCAAGTGAACTCTAAACCCCCTCGGCAGACGAGAGATATGATAATCTACATGCTCTAAACAAAAGCAGGGGGAGGCCCTCCACTCGGTGAGGGTGTCCACTGACGTGTGCCCCCTGCATCTACTATATTTCCTGCCACACGCGCTGAGCAAGAAGGCGAGAGAAGAGGGAGAGGGAGAGGGAGGCGGACTGGTGGACACCCCGCTGGCGGTCGTCGTCCTCGCCGCCATCGCCTCTAGCGTCGACCGTATCATACGCTTCCTGACAAGCGATGCATCAACCTCGGCTCTCAACACTCTCCCACGCGCGACAGGGTCCACTCGGACGAGTTCGGCCCCCGCCCCTGCAAGATGATCGGCAATAGAATTAGCAAGCAACGAAAAGGGACTGATACCGCAATCAGAGAAATTCTCAGCTTCGACATGAGACGGTACTTGCAGCGCCACAATCTGCGACGGGTCGCGACACTGAGATCGAAGCTCATCGCGGATCAAAATCCAGACGGGCTTGTTGGATCCACGGGGCTCAGCATGAAACCCTTGATACCACCCATCGGAGACCCCACCGTTGTCGGTAGTGCACGCCGTAGGCCCACGGGTATGACGCATGGCCAGAAGGAGCCCCCAGACTTCCCCACGAGGAACCGCCTGAGGGGCCCCGGGGAGCCCACCGTACACAGCAGCCTCCACGATAACAGGTTCGAAACTTTCAAGAACAACGACCGAGACGCCACATCGACGGCGACGGACATCCCAAGAGTCAGCCCCACCGCTGGAGTCGCCGAAGACAACAGCGGTGTCGTCGAAAACATGTACACCTAGAACAGGCTCGCTGGAGTCCGACTGGCTGCGACTGTAGACCCGCCAGGACTCGACGCGCGCTGCTGGGGGGGCCTGAGTCCAAGAGCTCGGGATGAGACCTCGAAGCCAAAAACACGGTTCGCTGTCCTGGCCCGCCAGGGCCCGAGGGAGGAGGCACCGGGTGTCGGTGTAGATTTGGCGCCCGCTGTTTTTGGCGCACAGCCAATGCCTATGGAGGGGGCATTCTGGTTCAAGCCCGCACCTGCGACATATGTTGATGTCGGTATCGCGGGTCTCCTCGCAAATACGAGGCATCGGCCGAGTGCCGCCAACAGCGATGGTCAGCAGGGTCTCCGCAAGACGACTGCCTCCAGGTACCCGCTCCAGAAGGCGAATGGTGTGCCTGAGAGAAATATTATCCGCCCCCTGCCGTAGGCCCTCTCCACGCAAATGCAAACTGGCGTCGGCCCGAAGTTTTTTCCGAGTAGCCCCCTCGAAATCAGAAACCAACCCACTGATCTCCTCAGACTCAGTAATCTCCTCGTCGGGGAAAGCCCAAGAGACGCCTGACCTTTCATCGTCAGCGGGCATGTCCCACTCCGCGGGCGACATCGGGTTCCACCCAAATTCGAGCAAGTAAGCAGCGATCATGGAAGTAGGCCCGCGCGCGCGCTGCGATGCCCGCCTCGGCGCAAGAGCGCGCAGCTGCTTGGCAACGCCAGGCCAGGCTGCGCGAACTGGGGCGCGAATACTAAGCTCCTGCAACCACGTCTGGGGCCAAAGCCGAAGAACCCCACGCGGTAACCGATAGGCTGGGTCGCGCCCATCGGCGCGAAGATCGAGAAAAGTAGCGAGGCACCTCCCACGTTTAGCCGAAGAGAACATGCCCAAGACGCCTCCTACACTGCAAACGAACAGTACCAAACGCGCCCGTGATCTGGTGTCCGCCGCTCGCTCAATAAGCCCCATGCTCACGTGCTTCTTGGAGGCCCGAGCAAATCCC